ACACACTCGGCTTGATTGCGGCTCAGTCTGGGACAATTCATGTAATGGACTGGGAAAGGAAAGGAAGTCACTCACGTCCATAATGCGTAGAGAAAACCACAGAAGCAGAATGCGGCAATCATCATCAGGATGGCGAACTGCATTATCATTGCTCGAAGACTGAGGACCATCAGATTGTTCTTCAGAGTGACGAAGGCCAATCGCGGAAACATCATGCATGCAATCAGCGCCAAGCAATCGACACCGGTCGACCGAGCAGCAGGATCTGGCAGACGGTAAACGGCAACGTCAAAGCATGAAAGAGGGTGCTGACGGTCATAGTAGACACCGTATACGCTCAAAAACGCATAACAGCAGTATGTGGCCACTGTCAATCTTGCTCGGTACTGCCTGGCTTGACAGTGAATGCTGAAGCTTACCAAAAGCCGTGTCGAACCCATTCTACCCGCAAAGTCAGCTTACGAGGCGGGATAAAGCTACAGGACTAACCCAAGTACCCTTGAAATACACTTGATTCCAGGCATCAACACGAGTCCGAGAATGTAAACATGGCCTCGCACCTTTGATCCCATGTTCCTGCATAGCTGCTATCTTTTCGAGCGTAAATCCCAAAGCGTATATCATAAATGGGGCTCAAGGGGAGACGTCACATTCAAGGATCAGGATCTATTTGTGCGACATACCTTCAGCCAGGTTAATGCGTTCCGGGTCGTTTTGTTCGATCGCGATTATGAACAGCACAAACAAAATGAGGAAGCTGAACAAGATTCAGTTACCGCTTTCAATAGCAAACGCGCTTGACGCACTTGATGTATTCGAGCACAGATCGAATGGCCGGGACTTTGAGACTACAGTTCTGTCAGAAGATCTCCACGAATGGTGATTGGAGAGCATGCCGGTAATGATCGAGCATAGGCGCCTTATGGGGATCGTAGAAGTGTACCGGATTGCGTTTGTATGTCTGACTGCTCATCAGCACGAAATGCTAAGAAAGTCTGGGAGCACAAACATCCGACAGAATTGAGTGGCTGCTCTCCGCCTGATAGACATATCGTCCCCTGGACGCGGGGGTAAACGCAAGAACACGCAGCAAAGCATACTCACGACCAAATCGCGTCGATGACCTTCTGACACGAAGTGCTTTTGATGAAGCGTTTGGCCTTGCCGACAATAGCCATTTCAATCGCGTTGCCCACGCGTTCTTCCGGATCAAAGTCCACAAACTCTTCGCGTCCGTGTTCGAGGGCTTCGTGACTGGCTCCCGAATAGACTGAATGGCATTCAGATGCAGCCCAGCCTGCGGATGATCGCAGACCCACCCGGCCAACTTGTCGTGAGGATGAGAGCCAGATCCATCATGTTTTCGGCAAAGTCCCGTAGCACGCGAATAGCTAAAATCTCGCAAAGGGTCGCCCGTGAGGCGGACACAGCTGAGGTCACTGCAGGCGCAAGTGAGACCTCGAATCGAGAGCCTAGAGGATGCGGATTACCAATGTTGTCATCCCGAATGAAGTGGATGCGGTTCAGGAGAAGACAGAACACCACGCTCAGATTGTTGTGCGCCCGCTGGATGTTGCAGTATTTCTCCAGCAGCGGGTGAATAAGCGTGTATGTGAGGTCGGGCGCGGTCAAGGCCTGCAGAGAAGTAGATTGATTGAGTTTAGGAGTAGGTTGTCTGAATGAGAAGCGTCGACCTCGTACGTCAGAGGCGTGTCGATGAAGTGCTGGAACGCTCAATGAATTTCATATGGTTGCTCGAGAGGCTAGACAAACTATGATGTCCTAAGGATGTTGCGGTCAGTCCGGGGACACCAGGAGATTGGAGATTGAAGCTCGGAGAAACACACCTGTCTGATCATATGGATGATGGGGTAAACGGGAGTGGCCTCGATGGACTCGCTATATGCGGGTCGTGAACACCATGCATGTGGAAAGCTTGAGAAGTCTACCGGCTAAGCAGAGGCTGCCGCTCTTGCACCCCATTTTCCATCGAGGAGAGGTGACTGCCTGGTTTGAACCAAAGTGTGACTGCAATTATCAACTCCACAACGCGTGCCGGTAACTGTTCTTGACCACCACCACGACGCGTGCGAAGCCGTACCTTTCCCGCCCCTATGCAGTCGAGCGGCAACACGGTGAAGATATACAATGCCGTCTACTCATCCGTGCAGGTAGTTCACGGACTTTTCCCGTCCAATAATTGCCCACCAATGGTATTCGCTAGGTGTACGAATGTATGATCAGGAATATCGCGGTGATGCGCCGACGCGCCGATTCATACGTGAACGCGACGCAAATTCTCAAGGTGGCGGGTGTGGACAAGGGAAGACGCACAAAGATCCTCGAGAAGGAGATTCTACCTGGGAAACACGAGATCGTGCAGGGAGGCTATGGGAAGTACCAGGGAACCTGGTGCGTGCGCTTCCCGCAGTGCATTTCTTTATTGACATATCGCGACAGGATTCCTCTGGAGCGTGGCCGGGATATCGCGTTACAATACGGTGTGGGCCCGTTGCTGGCCCCTCTGTTCGACTTTATACCTAGCACAAGCTCGCTGGGACCACTTCCTCTCACCGCGCCCATCGGGGCGAACTCTCCCCGGCCCTTGTCTGCCGCCTCATCCTATGGCACACTTCCGGGCTCGCAGGGAAGCTACTCCGGACAGATACCTTCCAGTCTCGCGCCACCGCCCATTATGCCCGGCTCTGCCCTTCGTCTCCTCAACCAGGGACGCGCGCAGGGCCTTTTCACGCCTTCAACGACAGGGCAGCGTCACGGCTCGGGATTTGTATCGCCTTCGTATGGCTCGTCAGCGTTCTCCCCAACTGCCGCCCACACTCCTCCGCCGACCGCTCCCAACTCGTTGAAGCGGAATCGGTCGGAAGCAGATGTGGATGTTGCCATGAGCGCTCCAGGTGCGTCTCATTTGTCATGAGTGAGTTCCCTCCACTGACTTTCGCGCGCGCGCAGAATACGGCAGCAGTGTTGAAGGTCGACCAGCTTCTGTGGGGCCGCAAGCCAATGCAGATGGGGGGCCTTCAGCCACGAAACGCGCGAGGACAGATTCAGCACCTCCAGCACCGGCGCCAACAAACACTCCACCAACTCCTGTTGCCACTGCCACTGCCACTGCCACTACTGTGAGCGACGGGCCCATGAATGGGACGTCTCGCCCAGTCAGTACCAAACCCCCGGATGCTCCTCCTGCGAACATCACTTACGAAACGCGCTTCGCGAGCAAACCTTCTATTCCTCGAAACATCGACCCGACAGCGCCGATTCGGGACCAACGCCGACAATCTGCCATCAGTGCAATATGCAACACAGATGACCCTCATGCCGTTCTCGATCTCCTGCGGGAGTTGACACCCGAGGCCGTCGTCAACACTAGCAATACGAATCCTCCCCCATTTGATGCGGACACGATACTCGACGATCAAGGGCACAGCGCCCTGCACATCGCGGCTGGCCTCGCGCATCTGCGGACAGTGGCGTCGTTGATCGTGCAGGGCGCAGACATCCACCGTGGGAATCATCTGGGCGAGACGCCGTTGATGCGAGCCTGCCTTGGGACCCATGCCTGTGACAATTGCACCTTCGACACGCTCATCACCACACTTGGGTCGTCTGTGCGCACTCTCGATACTTCACGCAAATCTGTGCTCCATCACGTAGCCTCTGTGGCCGGCGTCAAAGGCCGCGCAGCCATCGCTCGATATTATCTGGACAAGATCTTCTATTACATTGCACAGAACCAGGGCGGACAGTTCAAGACGTTTGTTGACTTGCAAGATGAACATGGCGACACGGCATTGAATATCGCGGCTCGGGTGGGTAACAGGAGTATGGTCCGGACTCTGCTGGATGTCGGCGCGAACCGGATGCTCCCCAACAAGCTCGGGCTACGACCCGGAGACTTTGGGGTCGAAACCGAGGTTCGTGTCAGGGGGGTTCGTCCCACGACCAACTGATCGCATGGTCCTAGGAACTGAGCACGGCTCCAGCGGACATCCTGACATCGTTACGGTCCGGTCCTCCACCTCCCGTACAGAAAAGCCAAGATGTGATAGCAGGTTGCGTTTTCTAGTTCCGTATGGGCCTGTTATTGATCCGGATACATACAGATATGACCTCGATGATTCAAGGCTTGAGTAACGAGTTCCAGCACGAAATCAAGTCCAAACAGGACGCGCTCGATGTCACGCAAGCTCATCTCCGGGCCGCGACGCGCGAACTATCGGAGCAGCGCAAACAGATCCAAACATGGCAGACCCGCTGCGGCGAGCTAGACCAGGTGCATCAGCGGATACGAAATCTCGAGAAAGCGTTGGTGGACGAGGACCAATTCGATTGGACTGGGCGCAGCAACGGCAGCGGGGATCCTGATGCGGAAGGCGAGGTCGAGGACGAGACCGAAGATGTGAATGCTGGAGACGAGAACAATGGCGGCCCTGCATTCCAGTGGCGGGGCCCCAACTCGACGATGATCGGAGTGGATGGTGCCATCGACCTACCACAGGATGTCGATCCCGAGCCGCCGATTCCGACTGCAGACGACATCCCGAGCCTCATTCGTCTGCGGCGGCTCAAGATGTGGCACGCCCGAATGGAAGATCTGATCAAGTCGCGGCTCAAAGGATTGCATGGAGTGAGCTCGGAGAAGGAGTACCAGTGCAAGAAGATCATCTCGCTGTGTGCTGCGATCCCCATTGACAAAGTCGAAGAAGTACGTGGGACTTGGTTGTGTGTGTGTGCGTCGAGATGGCGGGTGTACTGACTTGTGCTCCAGATGCTCGAGAACCTGGTGATCGCTGTGGAAAGTGATCCGCAGATGCTGGACATCGGTCGAGTGTCTGGTTTCATGCAAAAGGTGCGCGATCTTTGAGTCGTTGGCCGCACGGACCCATGAGAGTGCTCCAGGTTCGTGACGGGATTGTGTAGCGTCGGCCATGTCTTCCTCTCCGTGTATGATTGAATTCTATTTTGCCCGCCCGCCCTCACGCGTCGTGCGTATATCACGCGATTACATCATCACAGAGGTGCCCGAGAGATCTATTTACATAAACCGAACCATCCTGCCAGGGGCTAGTTTTTCAAGTCTGCCAGCGACGCTGACTGTAAAACTGGCATTCAGTGGCTGTTCGGGCATCAGAGGCTCGAGGACTTACGCGAAAGTCGTGCATCGTATTGGTCTCGATCCGGATCGTGATAGGATCGTGTGTGTTCGTCGCAGCTGAGGGTGGCAGCTGGGATCGATTTCAGTACATTTCGACTCGGATCATGTGCGACAGAAAACACTCACTCGTGCGCGCACGGAGTTGTTCTCCAGGGAGTACTGCTCGTCGCTGTGGTTGTCGCTCGTTGACTTGATGTATTCTCTCGAGTTGAGGGTGACCAGAATCGAGTTTGTGTACAACCGGCCCACTGCAACGTGCGGTCATTTATTTCCCCGTGTAGGAAGCGCAAGAGTCAGCCTACGCAGCAGGAAAAAGAAGATGCTATGTTAGATTTAGGGTGGCTCGAATCGTGTGCAGCGAAGACATACTAGAGAAACGTGTTTGAGAACGCAGCAACCTATTTTGGACGTCAGAGAGGATTGCTTTAGGTGGAACAGCCACCGACACAGATGGTGGCGACCAGAGCGCATATGCTCGTAGGAAGACCAGTGTTGAAGCTAAAGATCATCTGCCATCACACTCAGCACAGGCGATCCCAGAGAGCGATAGTAGAATGCACCAATCGGTTGATCAAGTCAGTTGATCGCTTGAAGCCCGTCTTGGCTACATGCAGGAGAAGAACGAGCACAACAGAGATGGTGATATCTGCTGCTGCAGACAGAGTATTCGCTGCGATGGAGAGGTTCTTGAGCTTGATGATATCGGTGATTAAATGGGTTTTGACCGCTTTGACCGCATATACTGCCACTCGTCAGGGGGAACGTCGATCAATGGAGAGGTCAGATAAGGAACACACTCATGAGCACCACTGTATTCAGATCAGACGGTGAGTTCGATGGCTCGATATGCGCGCTGCGCACCACATGATGTCCAGCTAACAGCAGACTACACAATAAGTCAGAAGAGACACGCGGGGATGGAGAATGGATGGAAAGACGTGCCACAGCAAGTGCCAAACCAGCATTATTTCCAACTGTCGATTGTCAGTGAGCGATCCAATGTTGTATTGCGCCGCAGTACTTTTGTATATTCTCCAACAGTAGAACCTGCACTCGAGTTAGGAACTGTGCAGGAGACGAGAGGACAACATACTGCTGGACAAGAGTGGTGATGGCACAGCTGAAGATGAGCTCGACCGTCAAGGACCTGTTCGGGTTCAATCGGCATGCGATATCGCGAATTGAGGAAACGTACTTGACGGAGCTCCCCAGGATAGTCGGATCCATCATGGACGACACTGTGACTCATAAATGGGTTCCGAAAATGAAGTGTATCTGAAAACGCACCCAGATATCTGTAGACTATACTGGTTGTAAGTGCCCGTTCGCTGCAGCCAGGGAATCGATTACCTGCGTGGCACACAAGCACCTGCTGAACAGTATCCAGAATCTGCACCGCGATGACCTGATCGATTAATCAGCCCTGCAGTGCGTATCATCAAACATCAGTGGCCCACCACGCCCTTGACCAGCAAAGGATCCTTTTTATGGTACTTGCGGATGTACATCCAGAACTGCAGAATCCCCGCTAATCCGCGGACATCAGCGAGGATCGCCAGAGCGGGCGCGACGGAGCAGCAGACCTCCATACAATCTGCACAGGAGTCACGGACCGCGGAGGAGACTGCACCCGGTAAACTCACGCGGATGAAACTGCCACTGCGACGAAGAGCATCCCGAAGGTGTTGTCGGCGCTCGGTGCCAATCCCATGACGGTCAGAAAGAGGAAGGAAGGAAGAAAATGCAGAGAGAGAGAGAGAGACAAAGTGTTGTGGAGCAACTAGGCCGCCGTAAATTGGTCATTATTCGAGCGGTAATGCACGTTGGCGGGAAAGTTTTGAGGAACACCCCTCAAGCGGCCTGAGCCTGCACGAATGCCCCTGGACGGGCGGAAGACGATCGAAAAGCAGACAAGAACGCCGCATAGTTATGAAACAAGCGAGAGACCAAGAGAGCAAGAACTAGCTGCGCTCCCTGGGTCAGCAACTCAAGTGGCGCTGTTCATTCGGAGAAGGGCGCAGAACGACTGGGCTTCGACAATCATCCCTCCACATGTCTGCCACGCTGCTCGAGAGCTTGTAGCGGACAAGAAACTCCTAGAAACAGATTCAGGTCCCAAGGACCAGAAGCATGATAAATTACCAACTGCAGTCCGTAAGTACGCAAGACAGCACGCCACAACAGAAACGGCCTGGAAACCGGCGATGAAACCTCGAAGTGGTATGCAACTCGATCGTCCTGGTGGACTTGACAACGCCAGGACGAATATTAATATGATAAGGTCGCAAGGGTGAACTGCGCATGCGGCTGCTTGAACATTCGGGCCGCGCGCAGCTGTTTGCGCGTGTGTGAGTGCTCTAGCGCCAAGCGCCGCAGGTAACTGGAGCAGTACTGGAGCGCTTGCTCGGCTATGCTCGGGGACCGGGAAGAATGAGTTAGCCGGCCTGGCTTCATGTGTAAGAGGATGGATGCAATGATTGAGTCGATCTCTAGTCGGCGAATCGTGTGCGATTGTGTGAGGAGCGAGTAAGCGCACGATCAGGTGCTTATCACGTGATATCCTACTGATGATCCGATTTCCAAGTCGACGCGCATTCTCTGACTTGGTACAAGGGCATGCAACATGGATTACGGAGATAGACTACTCGTGTGATTCTTCTGACTGGCTTTTCTCAATAAAGGAACTACTCGAATATCGTATTGTATTGACCTCGCAATTATCTCGATCGACTACTGTACACAAAGCGTAAAATATATGTAAGAAAGCGATATCGCCCAGCGCGCTAGTTTTTCAAGTCTCCCATTGATGTGGACTGCGAGGTGGTTTGAGCAAAAAGGGCACTTACATTCGGGGGTGTGAACTCACGTGGTAGTCCTGCATGGTGTTGGTCTCAATTCGAATCGTGATCGGATCGTGGTTCGACGCTGGAATCGTCGGCATCTGGGGACGAAGTCAGAGCAGTTCATGCGACGGACGCCGGGTTTCGACTCACTCTTGGGCGCCCCGTGTTGTTTTCCAGCGAATACTGCTCTCCGCTGTTGTGGTGGTCGCTCGAGGACTTGATGTATTCCCGTGAGTTGAGGGTGACCAAGATCGAGTTCGTGTACAATCGCCCGACTGGTTGGCATGGGACCGTCAGTGGGACTTCGCCTCAGCACGTGATCTACTCACGCAGCAGGAAGAAGAAAATGCTGTGTGGGGGTCAGGAGGCTAGGAGAATCAGATGCATCGGGACGCACTAAAGGAACGTGTTTGAGAACGCAGCAACCTGGTCAGGACGTTTAGGAATGAATCACGCTTAGACTAATAACAACTGACACAAACGGTGGCAACCAGGGCACATATGCTCGTAGGAAGACCGGTGTTGAAACTGAAGATCATCTGCAATCACAGTGAGCATGGGCGACTACGGACAGGGATAGATAGCACGGCGCACCAATCGGTTGATCAGGTCTGTCGATCGCTTGAAACCCGTCTTAGCCACATGCAGGAGGAGGACGAGCGCGACAGAAATGGTGATATCCGCCGCTGCAGACAAAGTGTTCGCTGCGATCGAGAGGTTCTTGAGCTTGATGATGTCCGAAAGCAAGTCGGTGCTAACGGCTTTAGCAGCGTAGACTGGGAGAGGGAATGTCAGAATGTGCGACATCCTGCCAGAGCACGGGACCCACTGAGGAGCACGACTGTATCAACTGGATGAGAAAACGACTCAGAACGGAGTAATGGCTACGCACCACATGAGGTCCAGCTGACAGCCGACTGGATGGAGACACTCAAAGAAAGCTCGGCTGATAGAAGGAAACAAGCGTACCACTGCCAGCGCTAGGATGATACTCTTTCCGACTGCGATGATGTGAGTAAGCGAACAGGGCCTAATCTAATCGCAGTACTTCTGTATATTCTCCAGCAATAGAACCTACAACGAGTGAGTCAACTGGGGGGCCGAGCCTGTACGGTAGGTAACTCACTGTTGTACGAGGGTGGCAATCGCACAGCTGAAGAACAGCTCGATCATCAGGGTTCTGTCAGAGCTTCAGCTCAAGGGACACGGCGACAGCAGCAAAGATGCGCACTTGACGACAGAGGCAAGGATTGTCGGATCCCTCATCGACGACACTGTGGCTTATGAGACACGAACGCCGATGAAGGCCGTCCAACCCACCGAGATACCTGTATACTTGACTGGGTGTCAGCATATTCTCATGGAGGCGAGGGCTTGAGGTACCTGACTCGCAGACAAGTGCCTGCTGAACAGTATCCAGAATCTGTACTGCGATGACCTGGGTGCTCTTGAGCAGGGTTAAAGCCGATATGCGTTGAGAACCTACCACGCCCTTGACCAATAGCGGGTCTTTCTTGTGGTATTTGCGGATGTACATCCAGAACTGCAGGACGCCAGCTATTCCTCGGATGTCAGTGACGACATGGGAGGTCGGCGGAGGGGAGCGAACCTCCGTACAATCTAAAGAAGCAAAGTCAGGCACCGTGGAAGGAATCGCGTCGCGTCGCGTGCACTCACGCGGATGAAACTGCCACCGCGATGTAGAGCATCCCAAACGTGTCGTCGATAGTCCCTGCTAGTCCCATGGCGGCGGTCAACGTCTGAAGAGAGGAGAGGCGGCGGGGAAGAGAGTGTGGAGAGAAAATCGGGCTGCGCTCGGTCAAGTATTTGAATACGACTCCGCATCGTCGCCGAAGGCTTGGAGAAAAATTTGAAACTTCTGCAGTCTCCGTGGTTGCGTGGAAACGTCTGGAACATGAGAGATTGCGTCCAGATCCATCTGAGAGAAGACGAGAAGTACTGGGCCGTTGTGGACGCAAGCGCACTCCACCTTGATGGGTGATGAGTGATAAGATGATTTCAATTTTGTCCATCCGTCACTCGGTCATCGTGCCGCCGGGTCCGAGGGGTCCGACCCCGTGGCCGATCAATGTTTCTGTGCTAAATAAGGACTTACCTCTTCGCTAATCAGCGCATTTGCAACAGCGCGTCACACGCTGTGGAGAATCGGACAGAATCTCTCCAAGCGAAGTCATTCCTCAAGCGGGGCCCGGAGACCATGACTTTCATCTTCTCCTTGAGCTCCGACTGGATCGTGTTTCCCTGAGCTGGGGGGATAATCTGAACACGCCGATCTCGATCCTTCTTTCAAGGATTTGATTTCTTCGATTTTTCATGTTTTAGATCCCCTTGAGGTAATCGTCCCTGCAGTCTAGGCAACCAATCTGCCGAGAACTATATACAAGACATTCCAAAGTGGACTTGAGGCTCCAAAGTTCCCTCTTCTTCGCATCTCATCTTCATCATGGCACCCAGGGTCTGGTTCAGTGAGTCCCTACACGAGACATCTGGAATCTTCTCTAATTCCCTCCAGTCACTGGCGCGAGCAGCGTATGGAGCCGGGTTCCCGCGCAGTTCCCGCGATGCTCACGAGTTTCATTCACAGGGTTTCGGTCTGCTCATGGCGCAGAAAGCTTTGGCCAACGGTGACAATGTATGCCGTCGACCTCCCCTCTCTCAAGCGAAAAGACAATTCACCATCGTCGGATAGGTTGTCGCAACGTTGCGGAAGCCCGAAGTCATCTCGGACCTGGCTGCACAATACGGCAAGGACCGTCTGGTCGTGCTCAAGCTGGATGTCAAGATTGTCGGGGAGATCACTGCTGCGTTCGAGGCTGCGAAGGAGGCTTTTGGCAGGATCGATGTTGTAAGTGGATCTTTGTCTTTACATATCATATGCACGGCTAACGTCCGGTAGGTTTTCAACAACGCTGGTTACGGCATCATTGCCGAGGTGGAGGGCACGAGCTACGAGAAGGCCCGGGACATGTTTGAGGTGCGCCTGCGGCCCCGGCGATTGCCGGCCAACTGCTCACTATCTGCTCAGGTCAATTTCTGGGGCGCATTCCACGTTGCAACGCAGGCGGTCGCTTTCATGCGGGATGTGAATAAGCCACAGGGCGGACTGTTGATGAACATGAGCTCGATGTTTGGGATCGACGCCCCGCCTGGTGCAGGGTTCTATGCTGCAACGTTCGTTTCTGCTCTGTGCTGGCTCTGATCATCTCGCTAACCCAACCTGTGCTCATAGGAAATTCGGTATGCGATGTCTGGCCACCGCAGAGCCGGCCCAAGCTCACGTTTGAATCCGTAGCATTCGAGGCAATTGCCGACTCTCTGACCCGGGAACTGGACCCCGAATGGAACATCAAGACGGTTACATTTTGTCCTGGCTGGTTCAAGAGTACGCTTTCCTATTACCGGCTCTCGGTCCGAGCTGACCACCTGAAAACTAGCCAACATGACACTCGTCAATGCCGTGGTGGAGCCTATACACCCTGCCTATGATCGTCCAGGGAACGAGAGCCTGGGTTCCATTCAGGTACCGGTATTCTCTGTCCGTCCGGCTCCAGTCTCACCCGAGTTTCTCAGACCCGCACCGCTGGTGTCGCCTTGATTCGAGGGGACAGCCCTCTGCTCCAAGATGCGACCAAATTGATTAACAAATTCTGGGACATCAGCAACTTGGAGACCCCCCCAACCCGACTAGCCTTCGGCGAAGATTCCAAGGTTTGCTCTCCCCCTGCGGCTGTATCACAAACCCGTACTGATTCTCTTGCCAGGCAGTATTCCAGGCCAAGTGGACTACACTCAAGGCCGATCTGGAGGCCAGCCAGGAATGGTCGAAGGATTTGGGCTATACCGATTAATTATTTTTGTACAGTACATGGGTAAATAGAGATGACATCATTGTGGGCGCATGCATTGTGATTGATCTTACCGGGTCCGAAGCATTCCAATCAGACCCTGACTTGCAGCCCCCTTGTTACCAGGTTGAACAGTCTTTCCGCAGAAGCGTGCAGTGGCAATCACTGTGATTACTGTGACATGGACGGAGAGAGTTACATGGCACGTGGAAATTATTGGTATTGGATCCCACGGATATAACGACCGAATGATGCAAATCTCATTCTTTTTTTGCAATTACATATCCTCTGGAGAGAACAGCTGGAAGTTTCGATTGTACGTCCCTGAGGCAAGAAGTTTTCCGTTGCTGGCGATGTCGACGGACATCACCTTGCCTGCATCAGTGGACAGAGTGCGAAGGAGCTGCCAGTCATCCGCACTCCACAGCTTCACTTGTCCATCGTACCCTGAGCTCGCCAAATACAGACCAGACCGATATTTCCACTCGTCCATCGCAAGCGACGGCTTGTCATGACTGGCATCTTCATCCATGGGCTCGGCAGTGCCCGCTCCGCCCGGGAAATTCGTCTCGTCTGTCCGGAAGAAACGCACGTCGGACACATTGGACCGGTGCGCAGGAATGTTGTACAGCGACTTGAGCGATCTTAGATCCCATATTCGCAGAGTATCATCGCCGGACCCGGTGGCTATTTGGTACCTAGTCTCGGTCAGCGTGGACTGAGGATGGCTAAGCAGGGAACAACACTGACCCGTTCGGCGAGAATGCGATAGAATAGATGGCCTGGACATGACCATCCAACACCATCGCCGTACGACCGGTCCGTAGATCCCAAACACGTCCGATCGCGTCAAGACCACTGGAACGGGATGTAAATGATAATATCACATGCCCACAGAACTGAGCCGCACCCGGAAGCGACTAATGCGCCGTCATCTTGAAACTCTACCGAATACACCTCTTTTGAATGTCCCTCTTGTAGTAGCAGCTCTTTAGAGGTGTTGACATCCCAAAGTCGCCAGGTCGTATCGAAACTAGCACTGCCGACATAGTCACCCGATGGATGAAAGGCAACCCGGCAAACGCGGTTCTGATGTCCTTTCAATACTGCCAGAGGCGACTCGCTGTATGGACAATCATCAGCTCCATATGCAACCGAGAGGCTTGAGAGCATTCACGAGTCCAATCCCCAAAGATTCACGTTGCCCTCGCCTCCACCGCTTGCCAGATTGACGACGCCTCTGGGCTGCGACAAAGTTGCATTGGGATGCCAAGCGACACCCCCGACGCGATCGCTATGTCCTGTTCGAACTCAATATAATGCATGCTTCAAATCGGGACCGATCTCACCTCGCATGGTGTGCGAAATGGTACAGGCGGGGACATTCCAGATTTTGACAGTTCCCGACCAGCTTCCCGTAGCGAGGAACTCATTGTTGGGAGAGAACCGGACTTGGGATATAGGTCGTTCGTCTCCGATCTGTGAGCCCAGATTCGAGAATTTCTGTCCAGTCGGTCATTGAACGTGTCGTCAGAGCAAATATGGTCACATGCCTTGACCTCAGCAAATGCACGCTTTCGAATGTCGACTATGCGCCCCAGATCCATCTTACTGTCGATCCGCTGCTGGGTGACGCGTTTTTGAGCTCTGTAAGAAAGATAGAAGAGAAAGTAAGCACCTTGCTGCAGCCAGAGAAGGATGGACGTGTCCCACCTCGGCAAAGAGTATTCCGCGATGCGCCTGCGAGCTTCAAGCAACTCAGCGATCCAGGAGAATAAAACTCCTCTTGCTGAAACTTTTGAGTGCTGTCTTAGAGCGCCGAAAAGAGTGGTGTGGATACCTCTTCTTCGCTATCTGAGGACGAGTCTTCGTCCACTTGCATAGGTTGATCGCCCCGCGCCGCATTTATTTGCGAAGTGACATAGATGAGTCGGTCTCTGCGGTCAGCGGCCTAGGGCGCGTGTCAATGATGCTGTTTTAGACACCTACAAGAAAGATAACGCACTCGTTCTCCGAATAGGGTGATGGGTTCTCCAAGTTCCCTTAGCCTTGCTTTGACTCGGTTGTCATCGGTAGGAACGGCCATAGTCCTAGCCTTCTTTTTGCGCTCGAGTTCATCGAGGATGACCTGGTTTTCGAGCCTGACGCGCTCTGAACCCAGATAGTTGCCATCATCCACCAAAGATTCAAAATCCATCTGATTAAGACGGTGCTCGAGACAGCGCTATCAAGGAGCGAAGAACACGCCGAGTGAGCTTTGATTTAGAGTGGAAGGGGAGGCCTGGTCACTGGTGAGAGTGCTAGTTGTGGCTGTGCTACACAATTGAAGTTACCACGACGATCACAGGCTCCGAGTTGGGTTTACGACAGCTAACGACCACTCGATTCTTGTTTCTCTCTTGAGTCTTAACCGCGAGCTTCCGCATCTCTCATCTCTCCCGAAAGACGAACAGGATGTACCAATCACAGCAGGGTCCTTCCAGTCCCATGCTCCCGCCTCCGTCGCGTACTCCCGAACCGCCCCAGCCTAGTCAAGGTACTTGCTTTCTAATTACCGACCCGTCTTTCTGTTTGTTTCTCGGTAGCTCCAAGCTCACGCACTGTAGACCCAGATTATGTCTACTTCGAGCGTACAACGACGGGCTTCACATCGGACGCCATCGCTCGCGCCACAGCCGCGAAGCTCAAACTGGCTACTTACTATAAGGTTGCCGTGGAGGCTGCCATCGCTCGCAACGCCCGGTACGGCGACTTCCCCGTTCGACATTCAGAATGACCCTAATCAACGATAACCCCACAGGCGGATTGAGCTTGAGACGCGGTTAATACAGATCCCTACGCCAGATGGAAAGGAACGCGAGATTCGAAAGTACACCAAGCTCGAGTGTTCCCATTTGCGTCTGAGAAGGACGAAGATCACGCTGGCCGACTTCCGCACCATCAAGGTTATTGGCAAGGGCGCGTTTGGAGAGGTCCGGCTCGTCCAGAAGCAGGATACGGGCAAGGTCTATGCGATGAAGAGTTTGAACAAGGCGGAAATGTTGAAACGCGATCAAGTGGGTGGCCTAGCGACATGAGAGCCAACAATCTTGACAGTCTACAGCTAGCTCACGTCCGCGCGGAACGTGACGTGCTGGCAGAAAGCAATTCTCCTTGGGTTGTACAGCTTTTCTATTCGTTCCAGGATCCCTTCTACTTGTTTCTTGTCATGGAATTCCTTCCTGGAGGCGATTTGATGACGATGCTCATGAAATACGACGTGTTCTCTGAGGATGTCACGCGCTTCTACATGGCCGAGTGTATCCTCGCGATCGAAGCAGTCCATGCGCTTGGCTATATTCACCGTCCGTATTTCTGGTGTCCGCGGTACTGGACTGATGATGATCTAGCGATATCAAGCCCGATAACGTGCTGATTGACAAGAACGGACATCTCAAACTGTCTGATTTTGGTCTCTCCACTGGCCTGCACAAAGCCGCGGATGGGGACGTATACAAGCGATATCTCGAGCAGAGAAGACTGTCAACCCGGCCCGTAACAGTGTGCAGGTAAATCCAATCAACTT